TCTCTCTCTCTCTCTCTCTCTCTCTCTCTCTCTCTCTCTGTGCTTGTTGTACGGAGGACTTGGCACTTCGCCAGTCTGGGCTTCCTGCCACCACTGAGGGTACAGTATGTACAGTCTACCTTGTGCCAGTTATTTATTTTGTTTCCTCTCGTCTCGTCCTCTCTCGGTCCTCATCACGTAGCTGTTGTTGGTTTTTTTTAATCTCCACCTGACGTTTAGTGTTTGACAGTGTTTGCTGAGCCAAAGCCTGCAGATGGGGGTTAGAGCTGTGACTCAGCCCCTTTGGGGTGCATTTTGAGGTCCTTACATGTTGTTTTCTTCAAATGATATCGGCACGTTTACACTGCTGATGGACAATAATCCAAATACTTCATGTTTCACCTAAAATTGTACTTGATTCCAGTCCTGAAACAGCAGTTACACCACAATGAAATCCCAGAATATTAAGAGTAATTCTGGATTCAAAATGCTGAGTTCTGGACCTCAATACTTTTTTTTTTTTTTTTGTGCTCAGCAAAATGCGTCTGGAGCATAGTGTCAAAGCCTTAATTGATAACATGCTTTGAATTATATATGAACAAAGTTTAGTGTGCTACTGAAGTGGAGATTTCTGGCTCACAGAATGAGAAAAAACTAATTTTGAGCAAATGTCCTTTAAAGATATTGTAAAATCCAAAACCTTTTGCAAGACACTACAGTTAAATAGGTTTTTGTGTATTACAAGTTTTCTTACATGTTATATGCAAACAAGGCACTATCTAATGGTCTAATGTAATTTAGGAGAAATCTACAGTTGCAAATTGACAAAATCAACACTCAGATATGTATTGTGGATGATTTCTTTCCACTTGTCTAAAAGAAGACATTAGATGTTATGAAGCAAAATAGTCCAAATTGTCAAAATCGACCAGTGCATGAAAAACAATGTTTTTGCCTTTGGTGTCTTACTTAAAAAATCCTGTTTGCATTGGACAAAAAAAAGAAAAGTTAAGTAAAGAATTTAGAATGCGTAATTTAGGGTATCTTTGGAAAAAAACAATCAGTTTGATATACGTACTTACACAACAGTGTAGTTTTAATATAGTATCAGTCAAACTGTATTCTATCGCCGTGGGCAAAATAATCTGTTCACAAATCACTGTGTGTGTGTGTGTGTGTGTGTGTGTGCGCGTGTGTGTGTGTGCGTGTGCGTGCGTGCTTAGAGGCTCCTCAAACCAGACCAGACTGATATGATTCACAGTTTGTTTTCAGAGCGAGCTGCTGCAGTGTAATTAGATTACCAATAAGTCTCCCTGAACAACCGTATCGCCCTCTATGTTACCACCAACTTTTCATCTCACTGCCTTTTATATCTTTAGAGTTTTAATCCTATGGTTACAGTATGTAGACATAGTA